AATATTCATTGTTAACCAATTTTTTATCTACAAATTTTATTAGTGTTTGATTCACTTCGTTATGATAACGGTCATATTCTTTCAATACGTAAGTGAAGACAAAATGCGTCGTACCTTCAATCTTAAAGCTTAAAGAACTTTCAACACAGTTTTGAGGGTCTGTCAGTGCGTCAATGAGATAGTATTCGAAGTCAGTCAATAATCTTTTTAAAGTCATTTCATACAGGATAAAATTTAATGTTGTGAAGAAATAGTGTTTATCTCAAAAAAAATAAAGTTAGTTTTTATTTTATTTATTTTTTTATCCTGTATGTAAAGACAGATATGTCAACATTAGAGAACACAACAACTGCTATCGTTCATGAAGTCATAAATGAAGAATACGAATACATACAGTATAACAAACAATTGAGACTCATTCGTTCTGTCAAAGACGACATGTACCAAATGCAAAGTATTTTGACGGCTTGTTTTGCTCCAGATACTAAGCTTCCTAAAGACTGGTTTAGGAACCAAAGCACCATAGAACTATTAAGTGAAGCACAGCGAGACGTACTTTTTTCTGAAAACAGTGAAGAACAGCGAGTAGGTAAAAAATCCCAGTCGCCAAAACTCTATGAAAACCGTGAAAAATTGCCAAACGGTTTGAGAGGATATTATGTTCATAGACTTTTAGTAAATGCAGTTGCAATGTGGGCTTCACCACGTTATGCTTGGAATATTTACAAACTTCTTGACGAACTTCACAGACAAGAACGTGGAGAGATGGAAAAGAAACTTCAAGCAAAAGATGAAGTCATTGAATCCAAAGACAAAAGCATACAGAAAAGAATACCGCGTTCAGTACCAAAAGGAAAGGAAAAGAACTATAAGTATATGATTTATACTGAAGAGTTGGAGAATGAAGAAGAAAGATATGGTTATGTTGCATTTAGTCAGAAGAAACAACAAAAGCTTTTACGACCTTGCTAAAATATATAAATCTGACAGAAACTGGTTCTATCGTGAAAACTTACCGATTTCAATGACACCGAATGAGCAAATAAAAGAAATTGTCAAAAATACTCTTCCTCAAACACACTATGACATCAAAGGTTGCACAATACTTACCTTCAAAGAAGACTTACCATTACTGAAGGAAAAAATAACAGAATATTTCGATAACTTCAAAGAGGAAGAATGAAGTCACGAACAGAACATTAACGAAGAGAGAATGAGGTGAAAAAACAGGTGAAATCTCACCTCTTCACCAAAAATATATTTTTGGTTAAATAGCTTCAGGGTCAATTTCTTCAACCATTTCACTTCCTTCGTCAATGTCAATAGAAGCTTCTTCAACCTTTGGTAAGAACTTTTGTATAACATCTTTGTTCGTTATTGTCTTCAGAGATGAAGGATAATATTTCACATATTTCACCCTTCTTATATTCTTTCTGTTCGGAAAGATTCATAGCAATACTGAAGAAGTCAATGTTGGAGTTCTTTATAACAGTATAATGAGTATCTTTGACATTCACGAAGAAACCCTTTTGTTTCAAAACTATGCTAACTCTTGTGAAGTATACGTTTGCGGTCAATGACAATAGCTAATGGTCTGACATACTGACCGAACTTAGATTCTTTCACAAACTTCTTGTTAAAGATAACATTGAACGTTTGCAGACCATTGAACTCATTCTTGATGGCAGTAGCGAGAGCATTGTATGAAAAGAACTTGCAATCTTGCATGTGTTTCATTAAAATAAAAATATTAAATTATTTTGAAAAATAACTTAAAAAAATGTAATCTAATTTTTCAAAAATATTTTTTTATCCGATAGAAAAGATGACAGAAAAATTAACTTTTTACATAGCGCCAGACCCTTCTTGCCCACATCCTTTTAAGCCACAATATATAGACATAGAACTAAATAGAGAAAGCGAAATTCCACAATATATATACATAGAACTAAATAGTGAAGGCGAAATTCTACAAACAGAAGAAAGCGAAATTCCACAAACATATAGAGACCTAGATAACGAAAATGGATATGCGCTATTCTGGTTAGATTGTCCTTATAAAATGTATGAAAAAAAGGCTTTATATGAAGAATATAGAAAATATTGTCATGAAAACGATATAAGACCAAGCTCTAGAGAAAAATTCTATGCTGGTATAAAACATCTTTTCGAAGTTCGGAATGGCAAATATATAAAGAAATAATTTTTCTAAGTTTATTTTTTCGAAAAAATATTTTTTTTATATTCCTACTAAAGATGTATCGGAAGTTGTCTAAGTTAGAACACTCGGAAATAAAACAACTTTCTTACAGAAGCTAATATAGATGTTGCAAAACATTACGCGACAAACAAAAAAGCACTCGCTGACTTCATTAAAAGACTACAATGGTGCAATAAGTTATGATAGAATTCATGAGTTCATAAAGCCGCAACGCGGCGAGGACGAAGTCCATGCAAGAGCATTTCCTTTAAATGACATTGCTATTGACTTATATCATAGACGTTCAGTACCTCATGAAGTAAGAAGAGAAATGTTTGACATAACAAATGCGAACGTTGGTCATACTCGTAAAGCTCTTTCGCATGATGTTCGTCAAGAAATGTTTGACATAACAAATGCAAACGTTGGTGAAACAAGAAGAAGAGACGACACACTGAAACAACAGAGAAGAGAGATGTTTAAAAGTGCTATAGAACAAGTTCGCAAAGCTAACGATGTCATTCGTTCCATTGACGACAAACCAAAAGAAGGTGAGAGATGGTTAAAGAAAGATGAAGAGAATAGGAAGAGAAATGTGAAGTCAGGCAATAGACTCATTGACTTTAACATCGAAGCTTTAGATGAACCAAACAGAGAATATTTACACAAACATTTCGGTAAGGTTTTCATGAGACTCTTAGAGAAAATTAAAATAAACTCGCAACAAAGATGGATGGTATGTTATAAACTTGGTGGAAAGTATGAATGTTCTACGTTAAACCTCAATAATATTGGAACATTACTACATCAGCTCTTGAAGGAGAACTTTATATCAGAGATAGAAGCAAATGCTGCAGGTATTGTTGAAATGCACTATGACTTCTTCTTGACAAACATAAAGAATCTTACTGAAATAAAGATGTATGATTTAACAGAATATGAAGGCTTAACGATGTCAGATGTAAAGAAAGGCAAACCAAAAAAGAGACCATATAGAGATGAAAGCACACTGACAAATGACCAGAAAGCCATTTTGGAAGCTCTTAAGCAAACAGGAAACCCAGCACTTATAGAAAGCTTTTGGAAAGATAATGGTGAAAAGAAGTTTTATAAGAAGAGAAGCGGTCAGTTATGGAAGTATCTTTGCACATTACCTATAAATCTTGAACGCTACCAAATCTTCAATGAACTGAACAAAAGAACTGCAATACTTATGACAGAGGACAATTGTTTCGTTTATGCTTGCATTCAGGCTGGAGTAAATGAAGAAACTATTGACCACATGAGAGAAGTCATTCGTGTTAGAGACTTTCCTCAAAGTAAAGTACAAGAAATTTCTGACGCAACAGGTATAGCATTTAATGTTACCATTGGTTATTTCAATGACTCAAGACATAATGAAATAAAGAGATATATACCAAAAGAATGCGAAACTGTTAGAACTATTGACTTACTTCTTGTTGAAGACCACTACATGCTAAATGAAAGACTTCCAATGACAACATACTTCATTCGAAACTATAAAGAAATTCTCAAAGCTTGTGGTGGAATGAACATTGAGAAACAGATGAAGATTTATACAAAGAGAGAAGATAAATATGTAGTTCGTTATGATAGAACAACACCGTTATGGGATGTTATGAAAACATTGTGGGAGTGCAAATATTTCGAACCTATTTCTTATGGAGAACTTTTCACATATACTACTGACTTATATAAACAGAACCTTGCACCATTTAAAGATTTGACATATGCTCCAAAGTATTGTGTACAACTGAAGAAGAAAGCAGAGTCAAAAGAAGTAAATAAAGCTAAATGTAAATTCATTCCTGAGCACGTTTTCTTTGCTGACTTTGAGTGTAGTACGGATGGCTTTCATAAAGCTTTTAACATCTGTTATGACAGTGAAGATGGTTCAGTGAGTGAAAGCATTTGGGGTCAAAACTGTGCAACAGAATTTTTGGAAAGACTCCCTGACAAGAGTTTAATATATTTTCACAACCTCAGTTATGACATAAACTTCATCTTAAGACACATGACAGAAGTGAAAGGAACTCCCATCATTAAAGGTTCACGAACAATGCAAATAACTGGTTTATATAAAGGACGGGCAATTATTATAAAAGACTCTTACAGTGTTATAAATAAGAAGCTTAAACTATTTCCTGCTATGTTTAACTTACAAACAGGACCGAAAGAAGTATTTCCATATAACTACTACAGCAGTGTTTTGTTAGCAAATGACAACAGAACTGGTGTCATTTCTGAAGCATGTAAGTTTATCCGGGATGCAGATACATTTATGAAAAACATAGATTCCATCAAAGGTTGCAGAATAGATGAGAACCACTTCGACTTAGAAAAATATAGCACGTTTTACTGCAAACAAGATGTAAGAATTTTAAGAGAAGGTTTTGTAAAGTTCCGCAATGACTTATTGAAAGAGTTTGATTTAAACGTTTATGACTACGTTAGTATTTGTTCAATTGCTAACAAATTGTTTGAGAACAGAGTATACTTCCCGAATGGAAATCTTTATGACCTCTCAAATAAACCAAGAGAATTTATTTCGAGATGCATTCAAGGTGGAAGATGTATGTTGTCAGATAACATGAAACAAAAGAGCAAAAAGAAACTCATTGCTGACTTCGACACTGTTTCATTATATCCTTCAGCTATAGCAAGACTTTATACTTTAGAAGGTATTCCAAAAGTATTGAAGGAAGAAATGTTAAACACAGAGTATCTCATGAGACATTTATTCGATGATGACCAAAAGGAACCCATTGGTGAAAAGTTTATGTCTGGCTTCTTTGTTCTCATTAAGATAACAGAGATTGGTATACCCAGACACTTTCATTTAATAGTTTGCGACCCTGAACTAAATCCAGAACTTAACGTTCCAAGAAGTTCAAACACTTGCTGTCTCATGTATGTTGACCATATAACATTACAAGACCTCATAAAATATCAAGGTGTCAAATGTGAAGTGTTGCAAGGATACTATTACGATGGAAACAGAGATATGAGAATAAGAGATGAAGTAAAGAAGTTGTTTGAGTTAAGGTTAAAGTATAAGAAAGAAGAAAACCCCTTACAAGAAATTATAAAACTCATTCTGAACAGCATTTATGGCAAAACTATTCTATCTCCTATTGAGTCAAAAATAACCATAGTAGATGACAAAGATGCTATAAGATATGCTATAAGAAATTACAACCATATAGTGAAGTTCGAAGGTTTGGATGGTTCAGATAAAACTATTTTCAAGCTAACGAAAAGCATTTGCAGACACTTTAACTTCTGTCCACTTGGTGTTAATATTCTGTCTATGTCAAAACGTATTATGAATGAAGTATTCTGTACTGCAGAGGACATGGGTCTTCAAATATTTTACCAGGATACCGACAGTATGCACTTATATAATGAAGACATCCCAAAGCTTGCAGCAGAGTTTAAGAAGAGATACGGTAGAGAACTTATAGGAAAGAACCTTGGTCAATTTCATAGCGACTTTGCAGAAATAACACCTGGAAAACAAAGTTTAGCTTATAAAAGTATTTTCTGTGGAAAGAAGACCTACATAGACTTACTCACGAATGATTTAAATGAAGTTGCATTTCACTGCAGAATGAAAGGCGTGAAGCAAGATGTTATTGCTTTAACCGCTAATGAAATGTTTCCTGAAGCTATACAATGCTATTACAATGAAGATAAGAACATTCACATACCTGTTGGAACATATGACAAAGACTCTGAGTTCAGTTTAATGAAACTTTACAAAGCACTTTATGATGGTCAAGAGATTGCATTCGACTTATGTAAGTCATGTCAACCTTGCTTTGCTGAAAAGTTCAACTTTTCAATAACGACTAAAACAAGCTTTATTCGTAAGTTGAAGTTCTGAGGTCATTTATTTTTGTCAGCAATGAGGTCATTTGTGATAAAAATAAGCCGCTAGCGGCATGGGCGAAGCCTATGTGGTCATTTACAATACAGCTATTGTAGAGTTTAACAATTGTGCTTCAATGTATAAACAATCTTTCCCATCTGGAGGTAAGAACACTGGGCACTTATGGTCATGAGTGGAGAACATGTCTATCCAAAACTCACGATTGAAGCCAGTAAGCTTGTAATACTTAGGATTTGACAGTGGTGAAGTTCTTGTATGACCAATGAACTCATTTTCAACTCCCTTACTTAAGTTTGAATATAATATAGCTTGCTTTCTATCCCAAATGCCAGGTGTTACAATCTTTGAAAATTCATTTTTCCTCGGAAGTATTGCATCATAATTGAAAACATTCTTGAAGTCTTCATTGGGTTCAGAGATTTGAAACCTTATACGTAATGGATTTTCTTTCTTTTTAGCGACTTCATTGAATGGTGAATATATAACAAACTGACAGTCATGAGTTCCATCTTCATTTTCATTAAATTCATAATGAAAGTCTATAAGTTGTGGCTGACTACCTTCTTCTTTCAGTTGTGCAAGAAACTCACGTAAAGGCTGTAAAGTTTGTACTTCAATATTGAACTTTTTCTCGAACATCTCATTAAATGAAATCATACATTGCAACAATGTTGTATCGTCTTTAAAGTATTTGTATATGTGAATGTTTTGGGCGCTTAAAGACTGTTCGTCATTTTCTATCTCGACTTGAAGTATAAAGTCAACCTTTCTGAAAGCACGTGTTATATACATAGATGTTATGCCAATGTACTTCTCTTCATTTATGTTCACAATCCAGTCTGTTGGAAACTTAAACGTTACTCTGTTCCCCTTTATTTTGACGTCAGGGTTTTCACTACTGAACGCAACAGATAAAGGTATTTGTCTATACATTTAGTTTGGATAAAAATAAACCATTTACTCTTTCTTTGCTTCAGCTTCCTTTGCTTTTTGTTCTTCCTTTGCTTTTGCTTCTTCTCTAGCTTTTTTCGCCAGCAAACGTGGGTTCTTCTGTCTTCCAGCAGCTAATGCAGCTAGTTGTTTTTCACTAAGTTTTCTCTTTGGTCTCTCTGGCTTTTGTTCTGGTTTTTGTTCCTTCAGTTCGGATAAAATTTGTTCACGAATTTCTTTCTTCAATGCTTCAACATCTATGACCCCTTGGGTCTTGTCCGTAGGATTTGACTGAGTCATTTGACTGTAGATAAAAAACTAAATTAAAACTTTAACCGATGTAAAATGAGCTTGTCAAAATCAGAACGAGAGTCTATTATATTAAATGACGCCAGAGGAATACAACATCCTTTCTATTATGTAAGTCAGAGTAAAGATGGTAAAATATATGTAAGAAAAAGAAAGGTTCCATTAGCGAATACAGAGAGCGACAACATTAAGTGTGCATGGCAAGGGCGAAGCCCACGAAGCCCATATAAAACCTTCTGTACAAACTGAGCCACCAAAAGAACAAGAAGAAAAGAAGCCAGATGTACTTTCAATAACGAACCAAGAGCTTATTGCAAAGTTCGTGAATTTCATTGAAAAGCAAACCGAGTCAAAGAACCCTGACCCACCAGTGAAAGAAGTCGAGACAAAAGAGAATGTACAGTTCATTGAAAATGTCAAGAAACAACTTCCACCACGAATACCAAGAAGAAGAGTGAGAATAATGAAGTAAATAGATATTTTTATCTGAAGTAAATACATGCAGAACGAACAGTTAAACGAATTTACTCCAGCAGAGCATATTCATCAGATTCGCTCATATTTCGATATCATAGACAATGCAGTTCAAATTGGTGACACTAATAGAAAATATTCTGACGCAAAGATTCCATCACAACCTGGAACTGCTAAAGATAACACATGGGTAACATTCAATCTCTCACCTCCTGGTGAAAATATGTTGGACCTTTACAATACATTCATTACGTATAAAATGGAAGGTCAATTTATTGTAGATAAAGAAATTGGTTCAGGTTCCAATAAAACAAACCCACCAGGATTTTGGATTGGTTTCGATGACGCTTTCTATGCAGTTGCTGGATATCAAATCCTTGCAAATGGTCGTATCGTATATTCTCAAGACAACGCAAGAGAAGAAGCATATATAACTTCAAACTCACAAACTACCGAACAAATAAAGAAAGTCGATGTTTTTTCAAAGACTCGACATAAAGATGTATGGAGTCATTCGGGAACATGCAGAACAGGACAAATTGTTGGTGGTCCAATTACAGCAGGAAAATCATTTGATTTTAAGCTTCGTTTAAGAATTCCTGTTAGAAGATTCCTTCCATTAGAACCTATTCGATTTATTCCAGCTTTTGCAGGAAACATTCAGCTTAAAGTAAAGTTCAGTAGCGACGCCTTACAATGCACATCTATATCTGTAAATGATATCATTGCTTTCAATCCAACTCTTAAAGTTGCATTTGCTTCAGGTTCAAATCCACCGACAAATAAATTTGTTCCATGGAATGAACCATTCACTATGATAACGAGTGCAACTGAAGCTAGTGGAACAGTTACTATTACAACTGTAACCCAGCAACTATTTCGAACAAAGATGGATTTTAATGAATGTTTTATTCATCCAAAGTCATTCTCTTTAGACCCTAACATTTATACAGAACTTGTAGAACATTATACAAACGAGGCTTTATGTTTTCCTGTTAAAGTTATGGATTGGATTCCTATGGATGGTTCATTCTCAAAGAATACAGATAGTTCAAGTGCAACATTTACAGCAGCTTATACGCCTATTAATGTTAAAAGTATTTGGGCACTATTTAGAAAGAAAGACAACTATTATGTTAATTTTGAGAACCCTAAGTTTAAATATCTTCAGCTTTCCATGGGAGCTTATGGAAATATGCCTGCAGAACCTGAAAAACATATGGACCTGTATTTTATGAAATGGTTGCGAACGCTTGCAATACAAACAATGATATGATTGGATTTAATGAAGATGTTATGAGGTCATTGGTGGATGATGGTAGTGTGGAACATAAATGGGATAGCTATGACAACACACATTTCTTATGTGGTTTTCCAACTGAAGTGGACTTTTGCTTCCAGCAAGGTCAAACATCTACTGCTCCAATAACATACAAATTGTCTGTTAAAGGACCTATTGAACTAGCAACAGAAAATGTACCAAAGCCACTTATTGGATTTATGAGGGATTGTTGCTTTGCAATACAAGTAAGACAGTCAGGCATACCAATAATAAGACTTGACGACTATAACTTAGCAGCGGACGACAGTGAGGAATAAAGGATGAACGTTTATTTTTAAAGCTTATAAATGAGTTCTTCATCAAGCTCTCGTGAACCTTCACCATCTGTGAAACAAACTTTACCAAAACGATTATGGAGCACCTATTGAATATTTCTTACGAGCTGCACAATGGCAAAGAGCAGTCTCACCAAGGTTAGGTGTTCCACCAGCTCCTGTCAAAAATAGCATTTGGTCAAGTCCTTATATAAGATATGGTCTCCCACTAGGTTTGCTAGCTACAGCAGGAGCAGTAATGATGTTGAAAAGAAACAAAGCAAATGTTATAAATAATACTGAAGTAGCTGAATTTGAACAAACTCCGACACCATCGCCAAAACCAACGTCAAAACCAACGCCTTCACAAACAACACCTTCAATGACTCCTGAACCTATGAATCTTATATACGAAAAAAAGAGATCTGACATTGTGTCAGATCTCAGTAAAAGTGACATTTACATGTCAAAAAAATAGAATGAGTTTAAGTAATTAAAATTGAGGGTGAGAGTAGTATTGTATGAAATAATATCTCTCACCCTCCAATTCATCCTATGGCGCCGAAAAAATTTTGGTGAAATGCGACCACATTTCACCAAAATTTCTCGGCGCCATATAGAGAACTAGAGCCTGTGAGGTACTGATACTATCCATGTACCTCGCAGGCTCTAGTTCCAAGCCAAAATGGCTAAAAATTGCCCGCAATTGTTCACATTGCGGGCAATTTTTAGCCATTTTTGGCTGGGAATTGGAGGGTGAGAGTAGTATTGTATGAAATAATATCTCTCACCCTCCAATTCATCCTATGGCGCCGAAAAAATTTTGGTGAAATGCGACCACATTTCACCAAAATTTCTCGGCGCCATATAGAGAACTAGAGCCTGTGAGGTACTGATACTATCCATGTACCTCGCAGGCTCTAGTTCCAAGCCAAAATGGCTAAAAATTGCCCGCAATTGTTCACATTGCGGGCAATTTTTAGCCATTTTGGCTGGGAATTGGAGGGTGAGAGTAGTATTGTATGAAATAATATCTCTCACCCTCCAATTCATCCTATGGCGCCGAAAAATTTTGGTGAAATGCGACCACATTTCACCAAAATTTCTCGGCGCCATATAGAGAACTAGAGCCTGTGAGGTACTGATACTATCCATGTACCTCGCAGGCTCTAGTTCCAAGCCAAAATGGCTAAAAATTGCCCGCAATTGTTCACATTGCGGGCAATTTTTAGCCATTTTGGCTGGGAATTGGAGGGTGAGAGTAGTATTGTATGAAATAATATCTCTCACCTCCAATTCATCCTATGGCGCCGAAAAAACTTTTGGTGAGAAT